CACAACAAATTGTGGCAAGTTCTTAAAGAGATGGGAGTACCAGACCATCTTATTTGTCGCTTGAGAAATCTATATGCGGATCAAGAAGCAACAGTGAGAACTGGACACGGAACCACTTATTGGTTCAAAATTGAGAAAGGAGTTTGGCAAGGCCGTATACTGTCACCCTGCCTATTTAACTTATATGCAGAGCACATCATGAGAAAGATGGGGCCAGTGAGAATTAAGATTGCTGGGAGAAATATCAACAACCTCAGATATGCAGATGATACCACTCTAATGGCAGAAAGTGAAGAGGAACTAAAGAGCCTCTTGATGCGGGTGAAGGAGGAGATTGCAAAAGTTGGCTTGAAACTCAACATGAAGAACACTAAGATCATGGCATCCGGTCCTCTCACTTCCTGTCAAATAGATGGGGAAGAAATGGAGGTAGTGACAGATTTTATTTTCCTGGGCTCCAAGATCACTGCAGATGGGGACTACAGCCAAGAAATTAAAAGACGCTTGCTCCCGGGGGGAAAGCTATGGCAAATCTAGACAGCATACTAAAAAGCAGAGACATCACCCTGCCAACAAAAGTGCGTATAGTCAAGGCTGTGGTTTTCCCAGTTGCAATGTATGGCTGTGAAAGTTGGACCATAAGGAAGGCTGAGCACTGAAGAATTGAGGCCTTTGAATTGTGGTGCTGGAGGAGACTCCTGCGAGTCCCTTGAACTGCAAGGCGATCAAACCGGTCAGTCCTAGAGGAGATCAATCCTGATTGCTCTTTAGAAGGCAGATACTGAAGATGAAACTCAAATACTTTGGTCACCTAATGAGAAGGAAGGACTCCCTGGAGAAGAGCCTAATGCTGGGAACAATAGATGGCAAAAGACGGGGACGGCAGAGGATGAGGTGGCTAGATGGAGCCACTGAAACAGTTGGTGGGAACTTCAGTGGACTCCGGGGGATGGTGGAGGACAAGAAGGCCTGGAGGAACGTTGTCCATGGAGTTGCGATGGGTCGGACATGACTGCGTGACTAACAACAACAACAATAACATATTGTTAGATCTTCCAGATACTCATATTAAAGATATTTTCCTTAGCATGGCCTTCAAAAACCTCCCATAGTTGCAAACTATGCATACATAGTTGCACACACACATTTTGTATTTTTGAAGTCGTATTAGGTAAGTTATGTTGCATAATTGCATAGTAATTTGACAAGCATTTGCTTCAGTTTCTGGATAATGCTAGCTTATTATGAAGTAGCTTTGTGCTAGTGCACATAGCCCATTTACTTCTGCTTTTCTCCTCCCTGCTTGCCCTCCAAACAATTCAGGAATAGTTTAACATGGGGGACCAGCTAGGGATTCTGGATTGTTTCTCTCTTTACAAACCTGGTTGTAAAGAAAACATTATTGGTTTGTTAGTTGTCACACTGGGGGAAAAGAACAAAATATGAGCAAACTGGTTATATGCACTAGTATGCACCTAATTTGCTATAAGCCAGAATTCTAGTTTCACATTGTGAGCTAAAGGAACCAATAAGAATCTTGAAAGGTTGCTGCTGGCGGTGCTAAATGTTTGCCATACCAGTAAGGTAGTGCTGCAGGAGCTGCTGGGACTTCCCAAACAATTTCAGCTGTTTTTTTTTTTTAAATAATAACATTAACCATGGGGGTTATTTTTTAGCATTCATTTGGGAAGGTGGTGGTAGCTGAACAGCTGCGAATTGTGTATTTTCATTGCAAGCTGTTGCAGTTGGAGAATTATTCTTTCTCTTTATATCCAACAAAAGCAGTTTGGTTCTTGAGCACCTAGATCAAGGTCATTTAGAACATCAGTTCCTCAGCAGATTTTTTTTCTGCTGACCATAGTGTAACAGTTCATTTCAATGAAAGGCATCTGCAGGCTTATTTATACATTATCATATTCTCAGTTTCAGTTATCTCCATTACCAAACTTTCAAGGTGGATTTTTTTTTGGTATTTGTATTTGGTGATTATAAATTTCTTTGACAGAGAGTCAAGTATTTAGAGTAGGAATAGGAATCCAGCCAACATAGCCAATTGTGAGGGCTAATGGGATTTGTGGTCCTACAGATTTTTTGACCTACAGTACAAGTTGCTCATCCTTTATCTAAAATATGATGAAAGCAACTTAATTGTCAGCAGTGAAATGTTTGCGTATCAACACAAATGGGGCCTATACTATAATAGTGCAGGGGTAAGCACTCCTTATTTATTCCTTTATTTATTTCATTCCCTCTCTGTGGTGCTCCATAACCTGAAGGTTCTCTGGGTAGCTTACAAAACATTTAGAGTACAATTCTGTGCATATTCAGACAAAAATCCTGCAAGCCTGGCATTCCCTGAGCAACTTGAATAGCTGGGGCATGCTGGGATTGCAGGATGCCAGAAGGAGTCATTGCAGGGGGAACATCCAAAACAATTTTTTTAAATTTTCCAAATGGTGATTTTTGAGCTCATAGTTATGTCAGTTTGATAACTTCAGGATATGTACATGAAACGGATATGTTGATGTTTGATATCACTGTTTAGCTAATCCAAATTCATCTATATAATTGCAGGATAATGGTATAGTCCTTTGATCATATTTTGTTCTTTTTGGAAATGAAATAAGCTAATTGATGGGTTAAATCGAACTTAATGTATATCCTTCTGTTTCTGCATTCCACTGTAGTATTTTGCTTTCTTGTATGCATTGCAGTCAGTTGGCATGCTTTTTCTGAAATAAGATGCCAAACATATTTATTTATGTGAGCCGTCCTGAGGCCATAAGTGATGGGATAGCATACAAAAACTCTAAACAAACAAACAAACAAACAAACAAACACTGAAGCATGAAGCAGTGTACATTGGCCTGATAGGAACTGAAGCACTTTTCTGCTCTCATTGCTACTGCAGCATCTGCAGTTGTGTTTCCTGCCTGTAAACAAATGCGATCTGTTAGGAGAATGGGAAATTGTTTATTTACAGGATGCTTGCTATATAAACGGAAGGAAAAGTTCTTTTACAGGCATCAGCTCATTGTGTTTAGGCTGTATTGCGGGTTAAATTGATTTTAGAATAGTTCAGGGAAATTAACTGCAAAAAAATATGTGCATCTATTTTGGGTCCTTAACTCTCTGTATTAATGAGTCTAGTCAAAGCATGTGGATCTTCTAACTGAAGCACTGCTCGTAAATGGTGGAGAATGTTCTGTAAAATTGCTCCTTACTTTGTGTGAGAGAATTCTCAGTTTTTCAGAAGAATCTTAATTTCAGTTTAGCTTTAGTTTCAACACATATACCCCAGTGTCTGATGTGTGTGTGTAGGGTAGATGGGAGCACCTGTGGGTCTAAGAAGACCATTTTACTCTTTCAGTGATGGTTAACTGCTTTCATAGCCCATTTGTGCAGCAAAGAGTCATACTATAAGCTTCAATTCATATTTTCATCTTTCTCCTGCCAGTTTGAGAGTCAACTGGTAAGAGTCTTTGATAATTTCATTTTTAATTAAAATACTTATTTGTATTCATTTAGTCATGACCTATTTAATGGCAGGTGTTCTTATTCACCTTCATTTCCCAACTTTTCTAATAAGGATGTCATGAAATACTGATCTCAGACTTTAGTATCATCAAAATATATACTGCACAAAGACAATTGATTACCTTGGTTTAAAAAGGCTCTTCTTTGATTCAGATTGTTGGAAGTTAACTAAAATAGCCCCTATTATTTCAGTCATCTTTATTACATATACAGTTTTCAGATATTTAATATACATTTAGTATGTATTTAATAGAACAATCTTGTGCATATTAGACAGAGCCTAGGTGTCTGTAAGATTTTGGGGAGACCCAGGTACGAGGTTAGGAAAGTTCTCCAACCTCATCATGCCTGGGAGTCTGAACAAGGAGCACCCTCCATCTCTCACAACTGGCACAGAAAACTGTGTTGTCTGCATAACGACCTCAAGAGATAGATATTCTTGGGAGAGGGGAGGGTGAAGTATATTGACAGTGCCTCAGCCCCCTTCCCTTGTGCTCTGAGGTGTGACACTTAGATGGCCAATTTGACCCGTGTAAGCATTTTGCAAGGTGGGACAAACATGGAGGAGACTCACATCTATGTTCCTTCCACTCTCCATAGAATGCCCATAATTCTTAAAGTTTGGAGGGCTATGGGCATCCAGATTGGATTGTGCACTAAGATTCATTGCTTCATTAAATCAATTTTTAAAAGTTCATATTATTATGGCAGTTTTTAAAAGGGAAGATCATATTTTCTTATTACATATCTTCTAGTTTAACAGCCTTACTTAGCAAGTCTTTCTCTGTGTGTATAGAGTCAGAATCCTCAAATGTGATCATAGCCTTTTATACCCAAAGGGCAAGGTAAAGCTTTATGCTTGTTAAAATCTAATTCGGCAGCTTGCCTTTTTCATACAACTTGTAAATGTCCTAGCACGGTAGCTTTATGAGGCAGAATTGCCAAATCTCATAATGTTAAACAATTATTACATTTCAGGCATGATAGTTAAGGAACCAGTAGGCATTTTTTGATATATTGAGAGTTGTGCATTTTGATAAATTGCTGATAATGCAAGAAAACTAATGCGACACAAAGTGAAAGAAACGCCAGTATATTGAAACTGCTTTCTTTATTTTTTCAAACTGCTAATCAAGCTGCTTAAATAGTATGAAACTCCTCACCCAAGTATTAGTATTTGTTAGGAAAGAACTTAATATTAGTTGTGAAAGAAATAGGTGTCATAGTCAACTTGGGGTTTTGGTTTTTTGTTTTGGTTCCTTACTTGAATGCCCTTGAATTCTAAATCCAGCATCACAAATTGTTCTATAACTCTGACATACTGCCCAAGTTAAGTAGTATTTCATGCTTTCTACACATAAGATCTGATTATTACCATCTGGTCATCACAATTTCTATGCAGTACTGTAGAGAATTCTCTGCTAATTCAAGTCTAAATTTCAGCATTCAGTTCTGGATATACAAGGTTTAAAGCTGAGTGTTATTGTCTGTACCTACAGGAGCTGTTCAGCAATATCATGAAACAGAGCGATTAAGGCCTAATTCTATGTACAACTAATATGAGTCTTGCTGCAGTTCTGTGCCCACGATAGTCTAGACAGCTGTATAATAATTTAGAGTCTCCACTCCATTCTTAGAAACTTGCACCAGGATTGAAGATAAGACTCTGAACCTGGAGTGCCATCCTCCTGCCCTTGCAGATTTGCAATGGCTGTAGCTCTGAGGCTTTAAGAATAACCTTGGAAATGGGCTTTTGGGGGTGGGAGAGAGTAAATGGGCACTGGCAGCATGTGCAGTATCTTAGTGGCAGCTTATCCCCCTTTCACTGTGAAGTACTTCACTTAGGAAATCTGGAAAAATTGTCCATTTTCACAAAGTCACGAGGTAATGTGAAACAACGGAATATGCCTGCTGTGTTGGTTGCTGGTATTGCCTTGTTGCTTCATGCAGGAATTGGGATAGATATATAAAAAAGCTCGGTATGGGCATCCTGTTAAGGTGCCCCAAATGTCCAAACTTAGATTTGTGTGACCTCCTGAGGCACTTGCAGTAAAACTATGAGAAATTGGGCAGAACATTGTGCTCACATGCCAAAGCAGGACTAAAAATAAGACAATTTTCACTCTTGCTGAGAGTGTATGTATAGGGACACTAGGAGGAAAGCTAGGTAGATGAAGAAGGAAGGAGATGCATATACAGTAAAGGTAGAAAGAGCTGAAGTTGGCTGTGGGCATAAGTTGCTGTGAAGGGTCAGGTCATTTAGGAAATGGGTGGAAGGGTGGCCTCTGACTAGTGAACTTTCTAGGATAAGAGATAGATGACAGACACGCCAATTTTGAAACACATACCATTCTTAGAAAGAAGGAGTAATAAACCTGATGAGGGCTACATTCCATTTCAGAGAAGCTCTTCAAGATCGCTTTCTAGAATTTATTTATTTATTTATTTATTTATTTATTAATTAATTAAAACATTTTTATGCCGCCCCATTCGCCGAAGCCTCGGGGCGGCTTACAACAATAAATTAAAACATCATAAACATCATGGGATGTTTATGGGACTGAAACAAAGGCAGCTGGGCCAAAGGCAAAAAAGATAGGCCCCAACAAGACACCCCCTGCAGCATATTTTCATTTAAAGGGTTTACTGCCATAACTTAGTGTTAAATTTCAGTGTTTTAGACTGCAGAAAAAAAATCGCAAACCTGGAAAACAATCAAATGGTTGGTTGTTGAGGGAAAGGGGTTAGGGCCAGGAAAATTTATTCATTTATTTAAAACATTTCTATGCCACCCCCATTGCAACAAAGCCTCGGGGCGGCTCACAAATAAAAAAATAGCTGTAGGATTGTTGTAAGGGTAGCATCAAGGTAAAGTGTGAGTATACAGAGTTATGAGCAGGTCAGTTTCCTCATTTCCTGCTTTTCAGGAAACCTTAAGAAGTATAAGGGTTTTTTTAATTGAAATGTAACTGGGTGCAGTACAATAGCAATTAGAGTAGCAATCTCTGAGTTTTTGGAGAAGATTCTACCCTCTACCTATTTACAGAATAGCTTAGCTGAAACTTCCCCTCCCTTTCAGCAAAGCTTCTGGCTCTTCCCTAAGGATGGCTCCTTAGGATGCTACCTGTGACATGCTAACATTTTCAGAGGGGCATAGGTTTATTTGGCCCAGCCCTGAGATCTTACAGCTAGGAGTCCAAAGGTTGAGCCCCCTACCCCCACCCTTTGCAGTTGGTGTGGCAAGAAAAAAGTATGTCTCAGAGGGGGAAAAGGTCAGGCTGAGACTGAGGAGTGGAAGAGTCAGTGACCTGGGACACACCCTGATATCTGTCAGTGTCTCAGGCCCCTACCTTTCACTGTTCCCATGCTTTATCTGAATAGCCATAAACAATCATTTATATAAAAATTAGTGTATCACTGCTGTCAAACCTTGTTCAGGCCATAGGATGCACATAAATCTCAAAGGCTTATGTGTATTGAGGGCAGCAGCTTCACCCTAAGTTGAAGGTTTGCTAGTGATTATTGCTTAAATGAAAAATAAGATTCCAAACCCTCCTGATAATTAACCACCAAGGATCCAGACAGTTGAAGTTGTAAGGTCTAAATGCAAACGCTAGCATTAATATCCCAGGTGTCTGCCTTTGTGAGGGCGGGGCAGGGGGAAGCTTGGGACTAGCTAGTCCCAGTGTCTGACTTGACAGTTGATTGGACATTAGTCTGGTGGGATGGTAATAGGAATTGTTGCTTTGCTTCAAATCTGCCTTTGAAAAAATGTAGTGACACAAAAATTTTGGAAATATACCTTTAGTATTATTTTGGATCATTATAGCCAAGAGTGCTAAATAAAAGTGGTTTTGCATGTCAAGAGAAATGTAGACATTTCATAGAAAAATCTCTTCCCCCATTTTTGGATTAGAACGTTAAAATATATTTAACATTCCCCGGTCCCAGGTTACAAACAAGTTGCATTCCTGAGAAAATGGAAAATTGTCCTTAAGTTGAATTTGTATGTAAATTGGATTGAATCACATACAGTCAGCCCTTCACATTCACAGGGATTAGGGCCGCAGGACCCCATGAAAGTAGGAAAAACTGAATATCTGTATTTTCCCCATGCAAGCTTACCATTTCCTCTTCTTTGCAAGTAAATAACAGAGAGATTTCCCTCTCTGGATCAGTGAGACAGGAGGGCATGCTTTAGAGGTTTCCCTTTCTATCCTTTCACTTCTCTCTTTGTGGTGATGGTCACTTCCTCTCTACAAGATGACGATTTTCCACATTTTTTTTGAATTAAAAAGCTTTATAGCAATTTTGTTCATAACTATGTGTTGTTCATAACTAGGGAATTTGTAACTCAGGGACTGGTGGGATTCTCTTGCTGCTACTTTTTCAGCAACCTTTTATTTGTAATTTCTGAGGTTATACTGGGCTTTAGACTTGTTTCCAAACAAATGATATCCAGTGAAGCAGATAAACTAATGTCATGGTCTAGTCCTTCATCTGGTGTTTGCTAATTATTAGATTGCATTTGGCAGTTGGTAGTTTTGTCTGGAGAGGCATTGAAGTGTAGATTATAGAGCAGCTGTATATTTCTCAGCTAAGTCTTATGAGCAATCAATTTATACCATTCTATATTTAGCTAGATAATCTTGGATCTGGATTACATGCTAATACAATTTGACATGTAGTGAATGTGTGCTAATACTGTGCAATATAACTCTGGAGCATTTATTTCATTTTCATTTTCTGTCAGTCTGAAAAATAATTTTATTATAAAAGTAACTTATTATGATAACTCTATTTTAATTGAGATATAATAGAAAGGGAGGAAAAGTCAGGGAGGAAACAGTTATATGCCTCTTTGACATTGTATATGGAGCATAGGATAGTTCAGACTCCTAGCTCTGAGGTCGGAGACTGTGCTATGACCTCAGAGCTGGGAATCAAAGTTCGATCTCTCTCCTGCAACTGCTCATAGCTGGCATGGAAAGAACTGTGCTAATTGCTTGGGAAAGTGGATTGAGAATGCAGCTTTCAAAAAGGGCACAAGGGAGTGTTTTAGGTGAGGAGAAGAGACTGGGGGTGCCAGGATATGACAATATGAACTTCAGGATAACCTGAAGTTTCTCCATACTCTTTAGCTACCCTTCCAAAACACCTCTGCTAGATTGCTACAAACATCTATGTTAGAAAAATGCAGAGCAGAAGGAGCCGGGAGGTGACCATTTGGGCAGCTGGGCGGGAGTTGGGTATTCCTTGTCTGTTTTTAGCTGTTTTAAATGTTAGATTTTTTTCTGATTTTACTCCCGAGGATGGTGGAGGGCAGGAAGGCCTGGAGGAATGCTGTCCATGGGGTCGCGATGGGTCGGACATGACTTCGCGACTAACAACAACAACAACATTGTACTTTTATCATCCATTTTTGTGGATTGTGCAAACTTCTCAGAGATCTTTGGCTGTGGGGTGGTATTGAAATGAAAAATCAATCAATCCTTCTACTCTGCACTGGATCAGTATTACCTTCTGAGTGTGAAGATTTCTGCTCCTCTCAATAAGATTGCACTATAAGGTGGAGAATCTGGGTAGTATTCAGCTCTGCCAGTTTTCAGTGTAGGAAATCAGGTATGATGATACCAAGTTCCACGTTTCACCATTGGCTGGCAGCTGCCAATGGATGAATTTGATTATATATTACAGGGCAGAGAAGAGAAATAAATGCATTATTGCTAATAAAATTGCAGCCTCACACTTTCTTGGTTTGCCAGGTATGAAAGGAATTGGTATGCGAATCATTTGCACTGATGCATCCACACTTGCTCATGTACACACCCCAGTGAAAAACAGTAGGAATGGGAGAGAGCCTTGGGCATTAGATAACGATGTTTTCCTTGTTAAATAGGCTCATCTTTAATATTCAGCAAACTTCTACTATATGATAATTTACAATAGGAAACACTATATTTCAGTGGTGAAGCAAATAGTTTGCATTTGATAGGTCCCAGGTTCAGTTCCTGGCATCTCCAGTCTGGAAACGGAAGAGATGTAGTATCATCTATGCTGCTAGTAAGTGTGGGCACATCTAAATTAGATGAGCTAATTATCTGATTTTATGAGGTGGCTCCTATGTAGCTCAGAACACTGAGTATCACTCTTCTAGGTTCTGCCGTAGCTGGGTAAGGTGTCCTTGCACAGATGGAAACAATGACATGAAACTTCTTAAGCCTAATTTGGGCTTGAGTAAATGCTTGGCCATTGCATCCACTAGGTTGAGGTGCTTAGAGTTGCAGCATACTGTAGCTGCCCTTGCAGCTACTCATATGAAAGGATGCATCATATAGGGACACTATTTCTATGAATGCTTTTCCATTAAATGTGTGTACATGTTTTGAACAAAACTATTATTGCAACTCCCTGTTCTGGCCATGAAGTTGTCTGCCCCAGGACTAGCAGCCAAATCTCTGACATGAAACTCTAGCCAGGTTGGTTGTGTTGCACCAGGTGCAACTCCTTTTGTTTTTAATAGAACATAGTGCTTCTTGTTTTCTTTGTGGATCCCATGAACTCTAAAATTAGCAATGGGAACAAAAGCAAATTTCCAGTGGATACACAAATACATAGAAACATGTGGGAGATGATTAGTGTAACCTATTCAAAAAGATTGTTTTAGAGTAATTAGAACTTATTAAGAAATGGACTGTTGATGCCTCAACCAATTAACAGGGCAGTAGGCCTGGAGGAATGTTGTCCATGGGGTCGCGTTGGGTTGGACACAACTTCGTGACTAACAACAGCATGCATACAGTCTTGAAGCATAAAGCTATGTGGACTCATTGTCATTCAGCAGAGATTTATAATTTATTGAAAGTAAGTTCAATACTTTTATTTTTTGTTTTTGTTAGAGTGGTTAACCTGCCAAATCTTCTGAGGATTATGCACAACTTCTTTTGATGTTAAAGAAGGTACTTTCATAGTATGAAAGAGAAGAGCTATATCTTTTGGTTCAGGTAGCTAGAACTTATCTACTTGAATTTTGTGTTTAACAAAACTGTAATTTGAAGATTCATGATTCACAACAAAACATTCTTTTTGAAGCATTGCAACATCATTTTTATAGTTTCCCATCCTTCCTTTTTCACTTGAAGAAATAGACATAAATGAACCCAGAAGCAAAGAAAATGATAGAATCAAAATTTATGAGTTTTTGTCATCTTTAACAGCTGACTATTAAGTCCCTCTTCATAATTACCTGTTAAGATTATAGTGTAATCTTATTTAAATTTGATTTATTATTTGAGCCATCTGTTCATAAAATAGATTCATTTTTATTGAACCATGTTCTATAATTCTTTTTCAATTGCAATACTTATAAAGGCTCAACTAGTTAGTCCTACTTTTATAAAAAGCATATACTTTTAGAAACATTGTACTTGAACATTATCTGCCAATTAATGTAATAATAAAGTTACTGATACAAAATTCAGAATAAATCTATTTTTCAAGGCATTGTACTTGTGCCTACCACATATTTGATTGATATTTTAATAAGCATTATGTATAGGGAGATTTGGAAATAACACTTGAAAAATTATTGACTCATTTCTTGCAAGATTGCAGGGTTCTGAGTGCTTTCTGTTCTGTCATCATGATCTGACCTCCAGAAAATTACATTCTTTAGTTTGATTATAATTAGCCTCAATAAATTAGAGGGAATGCAGTATTTTCCAAGCTTCTCACTAGTTGTAGAACTGAGCTTGCTCATCTTTCTATACAAACTCAGACCTCTGTTCTCCACCTCTACATAAATTGGGGCAATGGAATGCCAACTCAGTTAGTGTGTATAGGTATCTAGAAAAATCACTTCCCACTTTTCAGTCAAGTGTTCTTTAAGGCAGCTTAAAATAGTGTGCAATAACACACCCCAAACCAACACAATTCATAAATGTTTAATCAGTTTCTTTCCCTTCAGTTCTGCAGTCCCAGTGCAACTAGCAGTTGGTGCCAAATGTCCTTTCTGATGGGGAAAGCCTATGCTCTTTTGAAGCTACTACTCCTTTGTGCCATGGATGGGCAAGGTTCATTTTCCCTTTATTATGATATTTTTCAAGTGCAAATTGTTCCAGTGGCCTTCAAACCTCTGGCCAATGGAGTGTGTTTCCTTTTAGTTTTCTAGTACTAGGACAACCCAAACAGTGTTTCAACTTACTTTGCTATGCTCTGGAAATTGCAAATGATGTGTGATCCAGTTTAATTCTAGCTATACATATGCTGTGGGGATCAATGGACTAATCTTTTTTTTTATTATCTTTCTATACTTTCCAATTCTCTGGGCAGTTGATGGTGATGGTGATTTCATTTTTATACTGCTGCATAGACAAAGCAGGATTACTTGGTTACCACAACTAGAAAATAACAGTATTGTGGCATACTGAAATAGAAGTTAATTGTCTATACCTGTCTGTAATTTCGAATGTGTGTTGTGTTGTATCAGAAATACATCCTAATGTAGTTCTTGTGTGTGTTTTTTTTGTTGTATAAATGCTTTTCTTGTGGGCTAGTTCTAGTCTGATGTTGATAATCTTCTGTGCTCATTTAAGATTATAGTCTTGACATGTTGGATATAATGTATACTGATTGTCTTCATTCTTTTAATGTACAGGTACATGGAATAAAAAGTGAACCAATACCCAATTTTTTCTTGGTCTGAAGTTATGAAATGTAGACCCAGAACTGAATTCTGCCTAACTAGCCTCTGCAAAGGCAATCTGAAATAGCTACATACATACACTGTAGCTATTATCCTTCATTTTATAAAAAAATGGAAATGTTAGACCAACAGCACTATTAAAAAAGATAAGGGTACCCATTCCCTTACCATTATTTGGATATGAGTGATCAGAAGTCTTCACAGGAAGAAAAGCACAAATCTAGTAGAGCTTCCTCAAAATTCAAGGAATCAACAAGAATTATGCAGTCTGATGACTACTTTGCCAGAAAATTCAAGGCTTTAAATGGTAATATGGTCCCTCCTGCTTCTCTAAGTGGAACCAACAAAGGTGAAAATAGTAACCCAGCCAATGGAACTCCAGCTATGCCTAAAATGGGAGTACGAGCCAGAGTATCTGAATGGCCACCCAAAAAAGATTATGTTAAGGAAGTAAGCAAAACTACATGGGAAAGTAGACCTCAGACCAGTTATGAGAGTGCTGGGTCAGTAAATGGTGATCAGAATGAAGGGCAGCAAAAAGAGCATCTTGACTTGGAGTTTGCTGAGGCCAAATATCCATTGGGAGACATATTTATCCATTCTCCTCACAGGGGTCTTCACCCTATAAGACAAAGAAGTAACAGCGATGTTACAATCAGCGACATTGACACAGAGGATGTCCTGGACCAGAATGCTGTTAACCCAAATACAGGAGCAGCTCTTCATAGGGAATATGGAAGTACTTCATCAATTGACAGACAGGGTTTGTCTGGTGAGAATTTTTTTGCAATGCTTCGAGGCTACAGAGTGGAGAACTTTGAACAAAAAACACACGTACCATTTGGATTTACTGAATTTTTCCACTGTGACCGCACAATTTCTCCAAGTCTCCATGCTGCTGCACAGATTTCTAGAGGAGAATTTGTCAGAATTTCTGGATTGGACTACATGGATAGTGCCCTGCTTTTTGGTAGAGATCGGGACAAATCCTTCAAATGGCGGCTGAAGTCAGAATCTGTAGAAACATCTCTCTTCAGAAAATTGAGAACTGTTAAAAGTGAACATGAAACTCTGAAATTCTCATGTGAAGTAGAGGATAGTAGACTCGATAAAAATGTTCACCCTTGGAATTGTCAAAAGTGTTTTGCACATTATGATGTACAGAGCATTCTATTTAACATAAATGAAGCAATGGCTACCAGAATTAATGTGGGGAAAAGAAAGAATATAACTACAGGGGCTTCTGCTGCATCACAAAGTCCAATGGTAGCTGGTCAGATTGGAAGCTGTGAATCTCCTTTGGGAAGTAAAGAGGATCTCAATTCAAAAGAGAATCTAGATGCTGATGAAGGTGATGGGAAAAGCAATGATCTAGTGCTCAGTTGCCCTTATTTCAGGAACGAAATTGGTGGGGAAGGTGACAGGCGGATTGCACTTTCTAGAGCAAACTCAGCATCTTTTTCCTCAGGAGATAGCTGCTCCTTTGAATCCTCACTAAGTTCACATTGCACAAATGCAGGTGTTTCTGTATTGGAAGTACCCAGAGAGAATCAACCAATTCACAGGGAAAAAGTAAAACGTTATATCATCGAGCACATTGATCTTGGTGCATATTACTATAGAAAGTTCTTCTATGGAAAAGGTAAGCTATTTTCCTCTGGAACTTTTCATTCCTGAAGGTTTAAAAATACTGAGCTTTTAAATAGCTTTATGAGAAGTATAAATATCTCATGAGAAAAATAGGGTTTTTTTTTTTAAACAAGAACATTAAAGAACATAATTGTTGTGGCTCTTCTGCAAATATAATGAAAGACAAGATCTACCATATTTTACCGTGTATTAGATGCTACTTTTTCTTAAAAACATTTACTTAAAAATGAAGATGCATCTTATACACAGGGGGGCTGCAGGTGTGCTGAGGGGGAGACTGGTGCGTGCAGAGGGGGCGGTGAGCATGGGAGGGTGGTGGCAGAGGTGGAAGGCGGTGTGCGGGCGGTGGGTGGTGAAGTGGTGCGCGCGGGCAGGGGTGGCTGCGCACGCGGGTGGGGGGGCGGCATGCCCGCGCACGGCAGCAGCTTGTTCGCTGGAGATGGATATGAAAAGTAAGGGGCATCCTATACATGGGGGTGTCTTATAGATGGAAAAATACAGTACTTAACTGTTTAGTATGGATATTCAACTGTTGAGATTATCTGTGTTGTTTTCAGTGGCATATTCTTAAGTGTTTATTATTGACATTATTGAAACATCTTCAGGATTTCTCTCCCAAACCAAATATGAGAGATAAATGTAATCATACGAGTTGTTAAACTGCCCAATGGATTGTGTAAGAATGTTTAATATTGATAATATTATCCAATAATATCAAAGTGCTGTTAGTACTTACAAGGTTAATGAAATATGTTTGAATCACGAGCCTTTTCACTCTTGGTATGGAGAATAGCACACACATTGGAGAGACTGTTGTACAAAAGCAGAATATCTCTAACATTTAAGTAATGTTATATATGTGTGATGATATGATATTATCTGCTCTTAATTGTTGATGAGGGGAGGAAACGGAAAAAGAGGTTACCTCCATCATAGTCAAAGCTGGGATAGTGTAAAAACTTTGAAATGTTCTTAGTAATGTCCTCTAATTTAAAAAGTATTAAATATACTTGTCCTAAATTGAAGTCACAAGTATACAGAAGATTAAACAGTGCTCCTGATAAGTTTTTCAACTATTACAACAATTACAATTTTACAACTTCATTTGAGAGTTGCAGTAACACAAACAGTAGAATGTGGAGCTGGAATGTCAGCTTTTTTAGGCAGCCCTGTGGCCTTTTAGGTCTTTGTTTTAGTAGCCTGCAGCCACATAGAACATCTGGTTAACTAGCAAACCCTGAACTTCTGATCCTGTCCCATCTGACATGAGCCTCTGCCTGAGTGCAATTTAATTTAAACCAATGAGTGGCAGGAATATTGTTCATCTGCGTGTTGCTTATATGGAAAATCCCTGCCTGTCCAAGAATCGCTAGGGAAGATGCAGTCCTAGTGTACAGTGGCTTTTTGTGATTTAAGCCCCACCCCAGTAAATATAAATATATAATTAGGCTGTTAATATTGGTATGTGAAAGCAACTTAAAACGGTATGATTCCACCCACAAAGGTTGAGCAGGTATTGAAAAGAAGAGATGGTTGTCACATTAGGAAGCCAGCCTTTCTGAGGATTGTATCCATATTCATAGGCATTGACAGGATGGGGCAAGGAGGGCATGAACTATAGGCACTAGATTCCAGCCTTCATTAAAAAAAGGTCTCTAAGTCCCTGTAGCAGTTGAGGATATGACAGCTCTGTCACTTACTCCATTGCTGATGGTGTTTTGGAGAAATACAGATGAAGCTGTAAAATGGATTGTGGTAACAAAGCATTTTCAGAAGATGTTATGATATAGATATCGATATAGATAGCTCTGAAAAGAGAATCTGCTATTTTTAGCTCCTGCAATAGGGCCTTGTAAAACATCTCTCATCTCTGAGTGTTGACCTTGGAACTGAGACAGTGTGCATTACAGTGATGCTAAAATTTTCTCATGTGTTGTAGAAATAAAGAGCTATATGTGAAGATAATGAATCCATTGTGCATTGCCTAAGCAGCAGAACCTAGCAGAGGGCTGCAAGCTAAACAGGTCATCCTGTCCTAGCCCTGCTTACTGTTACCCATGCCTTTCAATGTTGTACTTGGCCCAGAGGGCAATGATGAGGGTGAAGAAATTCATGTAGACAACTCAAGGTTTCAGCTGTGTGCAGAAAGGCATTATTTGGACAGCAGGTCTGCCATTTGAGAAATGCTATGTCCATAGACCTGGTATGCATTTCTCTGAATTTACATCTACTTATCATGGTAAACCTGGCATCCAGATTTTATCACTACTCAGTCGCCAAGTATTTGAAAAGTGGTAGTCCTGTTCTCTGATGGTATCAGGACTTTATAAAAATGTGCAACCATGCACAAAATGTGATCAAGGCAAAATGTGATATTCCAGAAGAATATTTCTGTAGTTTAGAATTCTAGCTGTGCAAAAGTTCTGGTGTTAGCTGATGTTAAAATGGTTGCTAATGTGAAAAGTAAATAGAGTAGTACCTGCTTCTCTAGAAGCCTAAAACCTGATCGAGCGAACTCATTTCCCCTTCCGCTGCTAAAGATTTCACAGATTTTGTTGCTCCTTTTTAGAGCTGCCATCCCCAACTTGGTGCCCTTTAGATATTTTTACTTCAGCTAATATTAGCTCTAGCCAACCTAGCCACTAGTCTGAAATGCTGGGGTTGCAGTCTAAAATATCTTGTTTTGGCACAAGCTCGAGAAAGACTGTTCTAGAGATTGTTCACCAATGCTTCCAAGCAGAAAGAAATGATTCCAGGACAAATTATCAGTGAAGTTGTTGGTGTTAAGATAATGGTAGGGATGCCAGAAAATATGTTGTTATATTCTTCTGCTACTGCTCTGTATGGGCTTAAAAACCCATGAAAAGGGATACTAAGCTACAATGAACACACACCAGGAAGTGTGCAGGTGTGTCATAGCAGGGCATGCTGTGCACATGAATTACCAAAGAAACTACTGTGTACCTCATAAGCCTGAAAAAAATCCTGTGAACGTTCAAGGGCAGAGATACAGAAATAGAAAGAGTTTGAATCCATTTGTCTAGCTAAGTTTGGTTTAGTTCTAAATAAAATTAAGAACAGAGAAGAAACTGAAGTGTCAGAGCTTAAGCAGATTTTCACAGAAGTATATGCTTCAGTTGACTCTACTTAGTGGGGAGAAGATATTTTATTGTAGCTGGCCCCAGGAAATTTACCATAATTTTATCAAATATTCTTTTTCAGTGTTTAGTTTCCTTTCAGGTGTTTAATTGAAGCACCTGGGTGGTAGGTGGATGTATCTTCCTCTAGTGTGCCTGCATATCATGGTATGCATATGAACACTAAGGTACCATGCGGTACCCAGTTGGCCCTTGCTGCATAGATTGCAGCAGTTGAGATGTATGTTAATTCATAAATAATATCTGCTCTCTTGACATCGTTATTAGTACTATTACATAGTAAAACGACACTAAAAACAATCCTATGGAAAACAGCAGCTGGAGCATATATGAAATGTTAATGATGTGGTTCAAGCAGTGATCTTTGGTATGAAAAATGGAATATATATATATATATATATATGAAAATTGATTTGAAAATAAAATAATTTATATAAACTTTAAGAAGACAATATAAAATATTGTTTATTATATAGTCATCTGAAAAATTTCCTGTTTATGTGGAAGCACTTGCAGGCTTCTGGTTTCATAGTGCACTTGTTAGTTTTTGTGTATCTCCGTCAGGTTGTCCCCTACAACATTTTTTAGCACCACAGGTAGTTATGTCTTGAAATAAAAAATGCAGTCTGTTTGCTGAACTTAATTGATCACTACTATTGCATTAATTTCACATGACCAACTGTAGGATAGTGCTAATAGTATCACTGGAGGTAAGCAAAATATCTATGCACTAGTTTCATAGCAAATTTTGAAGATGAGATTGTAGCCATATCCCTAAGAACAGTTCAGAACTACAGGAAGCTTTGTTAACCCATATGAGCACACCCGTTCTAGCAGTTTTTATTTTACAAGGAGATCTTTTGTAAAGCTTACATGTCTTTCTTGCCCATTGAACACAATGCAGCCCCAAATTACTGTGCATTACAAAAGAGATACCTTGCAGTGAGCTTGTTAGTCTCTGTGGCTAACAAGCCTCTCAGTTCCTGTGTGAACCAAAACTGTAAGCTATCCCTCAGTGGTTTATTTCCCTTGCTGCATTTGTTGGCAGGTTTGCATAATTACCTTTGCAGCTGCATCTTGCCATATCATGTAAACTCAACAAAGCTGGCCTGTTGCCATGGTTAACAAGCTGCCCAGAACGCCTGGGTGTAATAGGTTTCTGAACTGACTGCCTCTGTGTAAACAGGCCTACTATATTGCTGCTGAAAAAATCCACCAACTGAAGCTGCAAGGCCAGTTTACACAACTGCCACAGAGGTCTGTGGTACAGGCCAGTGACTACTATGAATATTCAAGCTGTGGCAGATAGGTCACATGATACCTGAAACTAGTGGGGTTGGATTGTTAATAAATCAATACATCCAATGGGTTGTTTTTGATTTGTGGATGATTTGCAATAGCTCACCTAGATTCACATGTCACAATAAGATGCAGTGACTTTCTGCTGTGGCTTGAATATTTGCAGTGGTTGTTGGCATGCACTACAACATAATGTGGTTAAGTGAGTCATGTGTGCTGTAGCAGTTGTGTGAACCAGGTTATGGTGAGAATTTTAGCCAAACTCAGAGGAAATAGAGAAACCTGGGGGAAGCAGATGATGCCATTGTCCCTGCTAATCAAAAGGTGTTAGGCCTTGGACTCAGCAAGTCCTGACTCTGCTACAGCAGAACACCTGTTCTACCTCTCTAAGTGTTTTATGACTTTTCTGGAATTAGTTTTAGTTTGCTAATGGCTAAGCTCGCATTTTTGTGAAATATGAATGGTCATGCCATCTTTAAAAAAACAGTGCCATTCCAAAGATTCTTCTTCAAAAAATAAGTTTCTTCAAAGAATTTTCTTTTAAGGAAGCAAACAGCTGTTCTGCCTGCCCACCCAGCAGGCTTATTTGATGTTACTATTGCAGGACTGGAACTAGTGTTGTGGAACGCAATAATAGATGCATAGTTCCTAATGTTCAGATGGAAACTGTCATCTGTAATAGCCCTTAAAATATAATCACTGGAGAGTTAGAGGCTTTAAAAAAATATGGGTACTTCAGAAGTGGTGGGCGAGTCTGGCCAGATGAAAGAACTAGAAGTAGCTTTAACAGCTGAACGAAAAAAGAAGACCAGCTGTATTGCCAACATGAATGTTGAAATTACAAACCATACACTAATTCTAGATGACTTCCAGGTAACGGAATTAAATAGAAAAGTGTAGAAAAAGTAACTATTAGAAATGCTCTTAAACAGGGTTTAGAGAAGATATTTGAAGGAAAGAAAGGTATATGTTTTCTTTTTCTTCCCCTGTCCCACTTTTCCTCTTTTTCTTGTTATATTTGCAATTAATTAAAACAAGAATGAAACTGACAATTTTATCATTTTTAAAAGAGGCAAATCATTAAACAAATGGCTGCTTAATGCAGGGCTATAGATATTTGATTCTATGTGCATCAGTAGCCAGATTGCAGAGTGTCTAAGGAGAAGTTTTATCTGTCCATCTTTTTGTAAAAGTAAAGATGCTTATCATTAAGATATATTTTCTTGTTGAATTATTGATTACCTAGGAATGGCAGCTATATCAAGCATATTTTACAAGTTTAGGAAGAGAATAGTCACACTGTTACGGTACTGACTGTTGAACTACTCTCTTATTGTTCTTCTCTATGTATGAATGTTATTTTTCCCAAATATCGATTATTCACTTCTATGGGACAAATAAAGGGCCTCAGTTGGGACAGCTTTGCAATATGAGCACAACTTGGCTACCACTGTATACAGCTTCCACCAACAGGAATCCAATATGGAAAGCAGTGTCCTCTCGTTCCTTTCCTACAGACAGCTGCTGCTTTCCAGGAGCCAAGTTCAGCAGGAACAAGGACTGAAGGAGGCATTCTGAATGCATCTTCTTGAATGCATTTCACCTCAAGGTCTGGAGACCATGTGATTTAGGGAGCAGAAGGTATTGCTAAGTTTCTCAAAGCAGGCCTGATGCTTCCCTTGCTTGTATGGCTGGGAGATGAGAACTGAATAGGAGCATTTAAGGATTGGAATGTTTCTATCTAGGATGGCCATTTATGAATAACCAAAAAAGAGTACATGCATTTGCATTAAACTTGCATATATTTGTTTACATGAATAGATGCAAATTTAGAAATACTTTTGTTATGTGCCATCAGGTTGTCTCTGACATACGGTGTTCCTATGAATGAATGTCCTCCAGAATGCACTGTCTTCCATTGTAAATTCAAGGCTGTGGTTTTTGGTTTTTTTATTTTTAATGAAGTCAGTCCATTACATATTTGGTGTTTTCTTTTGACTTTCCCTATCATTGATTGTCCTCTCCAATGAATCTTGCGTTCTCATAATATGACCAAAGTCTGACAGCTTTGAAACATTCTGTGTTGAACAGATATCCTGTCTTGAACAAACTCATCATGCTTTTGGTGTGATATTCTCCTTGCACATCAGAAATAATAACAGTATAAAATAAATGGGAAGGAAGGAATTCCTAATCTCAACCAATGACATTTATCTGAAGGACAAATCTGTCACTCTGAATTTTCATTACTGTTTTCTCCTGCTTATGTACTACAGAACATCAAAACTACTTTGGAACTGATGAAAATTTAGGACCAGTAGCAGTCAGCATCCGAAGGGAGAAGTTAGAAGATACAAAGGAAAAAGAAGGTTCACAGTTCAACTATCGTGTAGTGTTCAGAACAAGTGAGGTAGGGTTTCACAATGCTGCAGAATGGGGTTGATAAAAAAAGAAATAATTCTGTATTTTGTTCTACATCTACTTTCTATTCTTGCATATGGACAGGCCTGGCCCAAAAGTAGGTAGCTGCATGCAGAAGCTTAAAGACCTTGTTCCCATGATCACTGATCCCACAATGGCTTACTGAAGCTACAAGCTCTTGTTACAGCTCCTTGCATGGCTTGTATAGTACAAACTGAAGTTGCAGAGGTTGTTTGAGGGTTAAGCAACTCACAAAGAAACCACAGTTTTTTATAGAAATATTTGAGGACCGCTTTAACCCTCAAACAACCCATGCTACCAGGGTTTGAGATTCTACAAGTTTCCCATCATTCTAGCTAAGCAGAGTAGTCATCTTCTCAGTCTCCTAACTTCTGGAAGCATACAACTTGAATATATAGATAATGGGTTTTTGCATGCCTAGTTTTTAGATTTATCTGTTGTTGGGGTTGGGAGCATTCACTTCTGTAAATGTAAAGGGCAGAAAAGGAGATTAATTTGGGCAAAAGTATTCTAACTGGTGATCTTGCAAGCAACTCCTATGTGTTATACAATTCCTGCACATTTTAACATTCATACTTGATACAGCATAAACTTTTCTGGGGTGAAGGAATAACTTTAGATGCCATCATATTCCAACTACTGCAACCACCCACAGTCTTTCTTTTAATTTTTGTGCCTGGGAATAGCTATATCTCACCATTAATTCCATTTTCCCATGCGATGAAATGACTATAGATTATCACTATGAATCTCTTGCTGCCTAGTTTGTACCTTACTAGATTTTGAACTGCTAAAATTCTTCTGTCTTTCTCACCTCTTCAAATTTGTGCTAAACAGCCCAAACAGTTTCAGCTGTGGGCACTATAGCAATGTAAATAAATAAATAAATAAATAAATAATAAATAAATAAAATGCCTTCTCAGTTTAGCTGTTCCTTTTAGATGCATCCAGGTGAGGTTTTTTATTCTGTAGTCACCTTGCCTCAAACACTGCATTGTTTTCCTTAGTGGGGGTTGCTGTTCAGACATAATTGTCTTCCCTGTGTAATCCTTCCGTGTCTTCTGCCCTTTTTTTCTTACTGCAAAGATTCTCTGAGAAGAGGGAAATGATATATAGCTGCCCAATAACTTTTGATTGGTAGTGGTAGGAGCTGTCCATCTGGAGGCACCCTTTATGTTTGGTGTGTTCACAAATTGTCTGAGTCCTCTTGAAAGTCCAGCAGGTTGATAGTTGTACTTGCCACTTAACCCTTTGTATGATCATTTGGAAGTGTATCCTCTTCAATTCAATGGGACTTAGTTTCATGTAAGTGTAATTTCGTTCTGTGTGACGGCAGTATCCATTGTTTTGTGGATGGACTTATAGAAGGAATTTAGGCAGCTCTTGAATAATCACAACGTGCTGGAACCTAGCAGCTCATATTTCAGAAATTCATTTCCCTCTCAGTTACAAGCTTCTACAGAATGAATAGCAAAGAATGGTGCAGTTTTCAAAGACAAACATATAGTTAGCTTGAGAGGGAAGCAGAAGATAAGTATGGCTGCAGATCCTTGACAGAACTGGATTATAGAAGTATAAGCTGTCTTAGAAAGAGAGTTTGGAGGAAGAAAACTTGGAAAATTTTTAGAGGGGAAAGGGAGAGAGGGCTTTGACATACAGTTTCTCTTATTTTATTTTTATATATATATATATATATATATATATATATATATATATATATGTTATAGGGAGTGCTTGCTTGTGCACGCATTGTACTTAGCAGGAGGTACTTTTCTGCTGTGCCTAAGATATTGAAAGCATGGTTCATGATGGTCAAGTATGGGGTCTTTAGTGTCCTAGTACCCATACTCTGGAATTCCCCCCATTGGAAATTATGAAGGCACTGACTCCTTTGGGTTTTTGAAATCTCTCGAAAACCTATTTGTTTCAAGAAGCTGTTTTTAACAGCTTTATTAGGCATTATTTGTATACTGCTTAGAAATGTTTTACTGTAGTGTTTCTTAAACCTCATTTAATCAATAAAAATAGAGATTTTCAGTGCTGCTTTTCTTAGTGGATCAAGGAAATGACAGTGTAGTAAGTAAGCTGTAAAATTTGGAAATATTTCTTTAGGTATTTTGACTGACCAACATAGAATATAAAATTTATTAATACACAATTGTATATAATTCTGTATACATAGAATATGTAATTTATTAAATATATGTGGGAAACATGTGAAACTCCAGATGTTATTTTGCTACAGCTTCCAACATCTTTGATTGTTGGTCACCCTGACTGGGGGTCCAACAGCAACCTCAGATCCTTAAGTTCCTTGCTCTTGATTTAAAATTTGTTCTAGGAATGGAAAACTGAAGATAATATGGTGATTATCAAATTACTCCTGAAAATGTACCACTTGTGATACTGTAGAGTTAACACTGACTACTGTATACCAACATTTCCATATATGCATGATTAGTAAGCATTCAACTTACTTACCTTCTCTTTGAATCAGTTTGACTTCTATTTAATATTGTCTTGCTTGATTTCCTTTGCCTAACATCACAATGAAGAAAATGTAAGTGTGTCTCCCTTTTTAGTTGCTCAAGTCTGTGTTAGAATAATAAATATTCAGTAAGACTTTCACTCTCACTGTAGCTTACAACATTGCGAGGAGCCATTTTAGAAGACGCCATCCCCTCTACTGCTAGACACGGCACAGCACGTGGTTTGCCTCTTAAAGAAGTATTTGAATATGTAATACCAGAACTGAGCATTCAGTGCCTGAGGCAAGCTTCCAACTCACCCAAAGTGTCTGAACAACTGCTTAAATTGGATGAACAAGGGGTATGTCTTGCATGTTTTACCTGAGCTTGTGTACATTTTTTTGTTCTTGTAAAGCTAAATCAATTATCAAGATTTTCAACATCTACTTAAGATAAGTAAATAAGATTTCTCAGGAACTTAACACATAGTAGACTTCTTCCACTAGGATAATGTAGTTAGGAAACAACTCAGTATTAGAAGGCTGCAGAGTACATAAAAGTATGAATCATTAGCTTGCCAGTCTTTCATCTTACTTAGTTTTCTCCTTTTATAATTACTGTGAGCACAGTTTCTTCATAATGGTGATCTTTCCAGTGATGTTGTATATTTGAAGGGTCAAACAACTGGAATCCTAATTAAAACTATGTAGTAAGCAAAATTCCATGCTCAGTTAAATGAATATATTCGTTAAATTCAAAACAAATAACAGTAGTGAAATTATCTGGGTTGATACAGCACATCTACTTTTCTGCAAAATTAAAATATGTATTCTTTTTAAATACAAAATCAGAATGGATATGTGAAGCAAGTCTACTATTTTAACTAGCTTGTTGATCAATGGAAACCATTTATTTAAGCATCACATTCATATATTGACTTTCTTCCATGTGGCTTAGGGTGTTATATATAGAGCTAATGCATTTTTCCTCCCAACTCTTCTCATTGGTGGGTTGGTTATTGTGGCCCAGTCAGCCATAATTAACCTCATAGTTAATCTGGAACCTTTACCCAGATCTCTCTATTCCTAAAAGCAATTTTCTTTCCAGTACACTGGCTCAATATCTCATAACTTTTGTCCTATTGTCAAAGGTTGTATTTGAATCAGTAACTTGTTTTTCAGCATATGCGATTACAACCCTCAATGTCTTTGTGTAGCAAGTTTCCTGTCACTTAGTGAAGCTTTAATAGTTGGGAAACTGAACAGAATTAATGTATGAACACTAGAGTCACCCTGTTTTGATATTGCCTGAAGTTATGAATAAGGTTGAAGTGGGGGAAGAGTGAGTCAATAGCTACGGCAAGAAAATAATCACTATTCATTATTAACAGTTGGCACTACATACATGTTACAGACTATTATAACTTGTCATGATTGTCAAAAATAAGGAGGATAAAATGGGAACAAATGAAGAACATTATTATTTCTTAAATAAGAAGGGAACTTGTGCAAACTATTTTTCCAGTACCCTGCATGTACTTAGGAAAATAGAGACAAGTTATAATAGTACTGCAAAGAGTCAAACTGTCAAAATTCAAATAACTGAAGCTTGAAAATATATGGAAATAGTTACAGTTCCAGGGAAACTAATTTGTGTAAAATATTGTTAAAGATGTCAGAGCTTCAGTAGTGGTATCTGCTGTAAGTATTTTCACTTGCACTTCACTATCTTTACAGATAGATGCTTTCAGTGAACAAACTGGATGTTCATTTGCCCAAATGACAGCAGCAGCTGATGTTTTTGCTTGTGCTAGTCTCTTAAATCAGACCAAATGAATTTACTCTGAGCTAAGCTAATCCATTTGTTTAGTGGAGATGTTGACAGTACTTCAGTGTACAAAATGATTATAAATATGATTATTATGAATATGTTCATCATAGTCACTAAACTGACAATCTCACTGGGCATGAAACACATTTCCTAGCCCAGTCTCTCTCTCTCCCCCTCCCTGGATACAATTCCATAAAGTAGTAAGGGCTATGTGGCAGTATCTGTTTTTTCAGTTTTTTTCTCTGTTACAGACACTGGTAATGCACATGCTACTCTGTTAATACCCAGTGTGCACTGTCACTGTAACTTAACCCCATGGTCTCTTTGATTATCGGAGCGTTGTTTTCCTTTCAAACAAACCATGCTGCCTGGTCTTGGTTGATTTGACAAACTTCACTGGGTGGGTAATTAAGCAAACAACAAGTCATTGTGACTTGTTTAAGCCATAGTGATCGTGTGGACTTGATTCTAAAGGGAGAGGAGGGAAATCAGTGTACTCAAATTAGTATTACTTTTTGAAAGATTCAGATATGCAGATGGCAAATTGAAAATTGTTTCTAAGTTAATGCACTACAGTTTATACACTGCAGTTCATTTAAAAGTGCATAATTCTGGACTATCTTCTACTTTTGTTTACATGCTGATAACTAAAATATTCCTAATTTGCAGAAAAAAAACAGCAAAATAGAGCTCTGAATTAGGGTTTTCCAAATTATTTGGACCTGTGGGCACATTTGGAAATTTGAGACACCAACACAAACTAGTTCCCATGAATCATTGAATCATAGCATAGTTTGGTCAGAAGGTGTCAAGAAGGCCATTGGGTCCACCGCCCTGCTGGTGCAGGACACCAGTTACACCATCCCACTCAGCTGTCAGAGAGCTTTTTCCTGAATGTCTTTAGTGAGGAAGAGGACGCAACCTCTCTTGATTGATTCCACTGTCATATTGCTCTGACAGTTAGGAAGTTCTTCCTTATGACCAGCCTGCACCTGGTGTACTGTAGCTTAAGTTTATTGCTCTGTGTCCTACACTCTGGAAAGAGTGAGGGGAGGTCTTTTCCATCTTCTTTGTGACAGCCTTTGAGGTACCTGTAGAGTGCTATCATCTCACGTTGTAGTCTTCTTTTCTCAAGACTGAACAGGCCCAGTTCTTTCAGTCTCTTGTCATATGATTTAGTTTCTAGGCCCTGTATAATGTTTGTTGCCCTTTTCTGAACTCTCTCTTTACATCATTCTTTTTAAACTTGGGTGAACAAAACTGAACACTGTATTTAAGGTGAGCTCTGACTATTGCAGAGCAAAGATGAATGAGTACTTCTCTTTTTCTGGAAATGGTACTTCTCTTTATGTAGCCTAAAAGAGTGTTTGCCTTTTTTGCAGCTGCATCACATTTCTGGCTCATATTTAGCTTTTGTCAACAACTCCAAGGTCTTTTTGTTTTTTGGTACTGTTGAGCCAAGTATTCCTCATCTTGTATTAATGCAGTTGATTTTTTTGCCTAGGTGGGGAACTTGGCATTTGTCTTTGTTGATTTTCATTCTACTACTTCAGTGTTGAAGCTTGCTAGGTCACCCTGGATCATCTTTTTGTCTTTCAGGGTGTTTGCTATTCTACCCAGTTTTTTGTATCATCCACAAATTTAATTATCATCCCCACTGGAATTCCTCATCAAGATCATTAATAAAGATGTTAAAGAGTACTGGTGCCAGGACTGAACACTTTGCTATCCCACCCATAATCATTCTGCAGGTTGAGAAGCTGCTGTTGATAATCACTCTGTGACCTATTTTGAAGCCAGTTGTGGATCCACCTAATAGTGCTTATGGCAAACCCACATTTATTAGGATGTCGTGGGGCACTTTGTCAAAGATTTTGCTAAAGTCTAGATACATTATGTCCATTTCCTCTGTCCTTTTGCATGCTAACCCAGTTAAAAATTGAGATTAGGTTAGCTTGCCATGACTTATTCTTACAAAATCTTTGTTGATTCTGTTTATCACTATATTTTCTTCAAGGTGTATACAGACTGTTTTTTTAGATGATTTGCTCCAGTATTTTCCCAGGGATTTAAGTTAGACTGGCTGGTCTATAATTCCCTGGTTTGTCTTTATTCCCATTCTTGTAGATGGGGACCACATCAGCTCTCTTCCAGTTTTCCAACATTTCCCCTATTCTCCAAGATTTCTCAAATATTATATATAGTGGCTCAGAGAGTTCTTTCATGGGCTTGTTTCTGAAGGGCCGCAAGCATTCGAGGAACCCATCTTGCACTGACCTTTGACAAATTATGTTGGTCATGAAGGATGTTGTGTATAGTGCCAACAGATAAGTTAGTCATTTCTGCTAACGTTCTCACTCAAATTCACACATTTTCCAACACGTTTTGCATTTTTTTTGACAATTCTGTTGGTAACTGCTTCCACTACTTTCCTGGGATGTGGGTTGCCTTCAGCGCTTTCCCTGCCATTCTTGAATTCACTAGACCACTTTTGAACCATGGATAATGAAGGAGCAGCTTCTTGATACATGGCAGCCATCTCTTCATGTATAGGTTTTTGACTTTCCCTTGTTCCATCAAGAATTTTATCACTGTGCGATGCTCAAGTTTCATTATCTTACTATGATCACTCATAATGGTTTCATGTTTGCAATGATTGCAACAATACTAACGGTCAAAACAAGCTGATTTTGCATATATATCCCCAGAGAGTGTCTCTACCTGGAACCATAATCAAATTACCTGCAAAGTAAGCAGAATTTATCGATACCAAGAATTTATTGAACATCCCTCATAAATATACATACATACATACATTCATGCTGTATCATTTGCTCCCATATGGATGAGAACGAAGGGGTACTCATCAGTAGGTTTTATGAATTCTAAGCTTCTACTGGTCACATCGTTGATCTTGGCCCCAGGTAGATGGCACACCTGACGTTTTTCAGGGTCAGCTCATCTCGGCATATGTATTTGCATCCTGCGTAGTAGGGAATCTCCCATAACTAGCGCTTTTCTTTTTTTGGTATTGTGTTCATTATTAAAATGGGTGCCTTGCTATTCAAGAGTAATGTAGGGTGGGAAGAGCGAAAAGAGATAGACTGGAGTCTGAGGTGGAGGGGGAAATGGAAAGAATTGCTTCTTTCCCTTGTGTTTTTCTCCACTCCTATCCTCTAGCCTTGCCTTTTCTCTCCCCACCCCCTTGCTACTTCTTTGCCTTCTCCATCCTAAGCCTTGTGTTTCCTATCCCTTATTGTCCCCTAATCTTGCTCTTTCTTTGTTTCCCTGCCCTCCTAACCTCCAGACATGTGTTTCCTCTCCCCTTTACCCCTTGGCTTGGTTTTTTTCCTAGCACTGAGCAGCTGTGTCAGACTCAGAAGCAGGAAGCAGAGGAGTGCCCCTTTTTTAAGAATGCAAGGAGGGAAGACCTTTGCCGTTGGAGGTTCTGATGGGTTGGGGACCTCTGCTCTAAGTGGCATTTAATCCCAAGGCTCTGTTGTGGAGAATTCCATCTGTTAACATTTTCCCCTAATTTCAGTTGAGTTTTCAGCACAAGATTGGGATCCTGTATTGCAAAGCAGGCCAAAGTACTGAAGAAGAGATGTATAATAATGAGACAGCTGGACCTGCTTTTGAAGAATTCCTTGACCTTCTAGGTCAAAGAGTGTGGCTGAAAGGCTTCAATAAATACCGAGCTCAACTAGACAATAAAAGTAAGTTTTATTAATAAAGTATAATAAAACTGAACATAAAAAGTAGCAGTGGCAGATGGTCATTTTGCTAAAGTGCCTTGGCATATTCAGAGTCTCTTTCTATTGTTCATAAATTAAAGCATAGTCTCCAAATCAGATTTACAAATAGAGAGCTTGACATATAATATGCATCCATCAACTTAGAGCTTTGGGTGTTCCCCACCCACTTGTAAGTAGTTGCTATGAGTGCCAATATGAGGAAATGGTACCATACTGAGATGGAAGGTCATAAGTCCAAAAATGGAACTGAAGGTGCCCTCCTCTTAGGAAAATTTCAGAAGCATCATCCCCACTGTCTTCCTGTTGACTCTTTCTGAGCTAGGACTGCCCCCAGTTCAGGGCACACATCCCTAAAACCTGCAACTGAAGACCCACATGCTTATTTTTGCCTGATTCCATGTAGCCATCAGATCCATCCAGCTCTCTGTAGATCCGCTCTTGCTGTCTTGTCCATTCCTCTGGGAATTACTCCCTCTGAGAGAGTAGAAAGGTTGATATGGAACAGAAAGGAGATATGCCATCACTTTAGGCACTAGGTCTGGGCTACAATTGGCTTTTTCACATGCATTTTTCATAGAAAATGAGTTCCCTATCCTGCTCCAAAGATACCAGAAACAGCCATGAGTGACAGCAAAATTAATCTTTCCTTAGTTAGGAAAAGAATGGATTTTGTAAGTGGCTGCAGTGTGCAAGTGCTTTATCTCAGTGAATACGGCTGTAGCCTGCAGGTAGGTTTTCCTTGCCACAGGTGCCCAGTTACAAGAAAACCTCCTAAACCCCTTTTGTGTTAGGAGGCTTACTTGGAAATTTGAGGGTTCTCTCATAAAATGGCTGAATGCAGAGATCTCACTCCTTCTTAAAATGTCTGGCATGATAGGCATTTCTCGTAACAAAGCATTCATTTCTCAGAGGGCAAGCTGATGAGACTGAAAGAAAAGTAGCTTGCCAGAGAACTTAAGCACAAGGCAAAGGTAGAGATTAAGCAGGCAAACACAGTGGCACTAATTTGAATCCAAGTTGCAGCATATCAAGATTTCAATTTAAAAATAATTAAAATGCCTTAACTAAATAAAAGTTAGGAGGGGTAGAGATTATAGAGTGCACCAATGTGGACACCACATTGAGGACCTCAGGCAATAGGATATAAGGACTGAGGAGGATTTATCATAACTAATCTTATATTGCTTAAACGAATGAAATGAAACACATATTTGCATTGACGCGCTTTTGGAATTGATTTTGCAGCTGATTCAACTGGAACTCATTCTCTTTATACTACCTACAAAGACTATGAAATAATGTTTCATGTTTCAACTATGCTTCCATATATGCCTAGTAATAGGCAACAGGTATGTCCCTTTAAAACAGATTTTTTGGAATCAAGTATAAATCCTTGACTGATGACTCAGATGTTTTATTTTTCTGTGGTTCTTTTGTCAAATTATACAAATTGTGATTTTTACTAAAATGCCTTTTTTCCTTTTACTTTGCATATAAATATTTGTGATTCGATATTGTCTAATTTTAATGTAAAGTTTTACATGAATTAGCATATTGCTCATCTCTTATGCAAACTGAAATACATCACATTATGCAGCAAATAAAATCAATATGTGAAAATGTACATTTATATTTTGTTTCCAAATATTTGAAAACATTAAGGATGGCTAAAATTGACATCACACTTTAGGTTTGACAGAATATTATGGGTTGCAATTCTGAAGTTAATGGACTGTTGTCATTGACTTCAGTGGGATTAGGACTGCCATTTTGTGTAAGGTTAATCCTGCCTTTGCCTGTACTAGTTGATACAAAGAAAATCAGTAGATGTGCTGAGTCCAAAGCCCTTTGGGTGGTCCAGTGACCACCGAAATTTTTAAATGTACAAGGAGATTTAAAATAATATATCTATATTTAAATATTATACAGCATATTTCTAGAGTTATGAATCTAATTTGTGTTAATAAGAGCCATTCACAAATGATTACTGCTTAAAGTGTAACGTTTTACATGTGATCCACAGTTCTTGTACAGGCTAGTTTATAAACCATGCTGGCTATGAGGCATCTGACAAATGTTTGGATACCTCACGGGTAGGGTGAAGTGTGCACCCTCGGTCTTCTTGCAGAAATCTTTGGGACACTGCAGAACCACAAAGGTTTGCACCTCCCGGCGGCGGGTGGAGGGGGAGGAGTCTTGTTCCTCTACCACTGGACCAGGAATCATTGACTGTCCTTGTGGTGCTGGCACAGTACGGACAATCCCATCTGAAGGCTCATGATCTAGTGCAGCAGAGCCCACTGCTGTCAGCTGTCACCACTGAGAATAAGAATAATGCAGTCTTGTCATTTCCTAAGTGTTCCTGATCCCTTGGGCATGACTGCCAAGGATCCCACTGAGATCTTTTGTGCTGAACATTTTTGGCAGTCGACCTGTGGCTTTAGGGGAACACATTGAGGCAGTAGGTTACATTGAGCACATGGTGTGCAGCCTGGATATTCCTGCAGCATAGTATGACTTAGAGCCTTGTAAGCCTTCCCCCTTCTCTCCCGAGGTGCACAATCTTGGTTTAATGAAAACATGTTAAAAATTATTAAGGATTAGAGAAAAGTACAGAATAGAGAAAAGACTGGTCAGGTTCTGTGCAAAAAGCAATCAGAGTTCTAAAGAGACAAATCCAGTGCACAACCAGTAAGCAGTTCAAAGCAACACATGAGTGGCAAAGAACAAAGAAGTAGATACAGACTAGTTAACCCAGATCTGTACTAAGCTGTGCACCTGGTCCCTTGAACTCCTACTTTGTCCATGGCAAGCTTCTCCTGGTTCTTGTATCAGGACTTCCCCACATCTGGTTGGGTAACAATTATTCCAGAATCCCTGTACCAGTGAAACCTTGTCTGTCGATGTGGTTGCTTCAAGCTGCCTTACTTCTTCGTCGTGGCCTCTGTGCATCACACATATGGGTGCTGTGCCTGTGCAGTGCCTAGGCCGGAAGATTAGAAAGCTAACGGTTTTGGCGGGAAACTCCGCTCCCCTCCCCTCCCCTCCCCCTTAGTGGTATAAATAGGGTGGAGTGTCCGCCATTTTACTCAGTCTTGAAGACCGTCGTTCGCTGTGCCTCGTGCCTGTTGGTCTCTCGCTTAGACCCTCGTGCTCACTGTTTCTTTTACACTTTTTATATATTTTGTTGCTGTCTTTTTCTTCTGCGCCAAGTTTTTCTCTTAACCCGTTCTTTCTTCAAACCTTTCGTTCCTATATAAAAAAACCCCAAAAATATTATCTTACCCTCTGCACTATCTTTTCCTTTTCTTTTCGCAATGGCGCAGCGAGCGGCATTCTGCAAATGTATTGAATGCGGTTCCAAAATGTTGCCTGCGGATCCGCATGGCCCATGCCTCCTCTGCCTTGGTGAGGGGCATAGAACCGACAAATGTGGCCACTGCTTGGCATTTACCAAGCAAGCTAGGAAAAATAGGGAGAATTGTCTCCGCAAACTCCTATGGGACCAGGCCTTGATGCAATCCGGCCAATTGGCCTTAAGGCCTGGCTCCTCTTCAGCCATGCCCTCTCAGTGCTCCGCCTCTACTGCTGGCGCGCCTTCAAAGCGCCCTGTCCCGGCTCCTGCCGCTCCTCCACAGCGTCCTTCGGACAAAGGCGCCACCTCTATGGAGGCCCAGCAGCTACCTTCTCCCCCAGCCAAGAAGCGCAAGCATACCGGCTCAGACAAGCCTTCTATGCATTAGAAGCCGAGGAAAAAAAAGGCGGACAAGCCCAACCGCAAGGGCAAAAAACCCGACCACCCCAAACATTGTGGTTAGGGTTCATTGGGCTTTTCGGTACCAACTGCCACTGTGGTACCGACTCCCTCGGGATCGGCGCTGCAATCCGCGCCGCGATGCAAGTGACTCCGCCGGGATCGCCCAGGTAATCTATTCGGCCTGAGAGCGTGCCTCCTCAACAGCCGGAGGAGCCGCTTAGAGAGTCCATCTCTGATGGAGAGTTCCGAGACTCCCCACTGAGGGAACACTCTCTGACTCTGATGCCCACAGCTGAGCCACCTGCAGACTCACCATCGCCTCCTAGACGTCGAAGCTACTCGTCTGAGCACCGAGATGAGGATTGGCCAATGCCTGGATATGGCGGTTTCCCCGGCTGGGGTGATTACCAACCATATGCCTATTACCCTCAGGATCATCAGTCACCATCGGTCCCAAGAGAGGCACCATCTGCGTCGAGGCGTATGGAGAGAGGATGTCCAACCTCCCCGGAAACTTCATCTTCGAGTGACCGCCACCACTACCACGAAGACTCGGATGAGTTGGAGGTCGATTCTACGTCTCCTGATGTGGCTATCGCCTCCCAAGGCCCCGCATCCCCTGACAAACCGCATGTCACCTTTGCGGAGCTCATCTCCCGCCTTGTTCGGTCTCTGAAAATCAAGGCCCATCATTGCCCTGGTCCCAGTACCGATCGTTTTTACGACATCGTCAGGGGAGAGCAGTCTGCAGCTGTAGCCCTTCCACTCATTACAACACTTCGTCAGGCTATGGTCCAGCCCTGGGACCAACTGGCTCAACCACAGACTACGTCTTGTCGGTACAAGGCCATGTACTGGATTCGGGAGGACAACATCCCATTCCTGCTCTGTCACCCAAAGCCGAACTCGGTGGTGGTTGAGTCCTCCCATGGCAGGGAGTCGAGAGGTCACATGGCCCCTCGTGACAAGGAAGGGAGGAAAATAGATATGCTCGCGCGTCGAATCTATGCAGCCTCTGGGCTTGGCCTGTGTATATCGAATTATGAAGCAACACTGGTACGTTACCAGTACTTCATAATGCAAAAACTGGATAACGTTGCCTTCTCCCTTCCAGACCACCAAGCGGACTTGGCCAGAGTCTTTATAAAGGAGGCAATGCAGGTGGCGATACAACAACTCTCCACTGCCAGGCACAACATGGACACTGACTTGAGGGCCCTCGTCAGTGCCATTTTTCTGTGCTGCCGCGCGTGGTTATGAAACTATAATTTTCCAGACGAAATGAAGAGGAGAATCGAGGAAATGCCATTTGACGGCACCCGACTTTTCCACCAGAAGACCGACCATAAGCTGAAGTCGATCCACAAATTGCGCATGACCGCACGCCACATCGAGCTTCCTCAGCAAAAATGTAAGTGGCAATGCCCTCAATCCTCCTACCGCCAGCAATATCAGCCTCGACAGCAGTACCAACAAAGACAGCAACGTCGAAGGCAGCAGCCACAACAACGCTTCTCCCAGGGCCGTCGACGTTGACGGTCTGGGTGGACCATTCTCTCTCTCCACTCCCCACCTTCCCCTCTCCCTTTTGGGGACTGGATCCAAAGCCGACTCCCCATCTGGGAGTCCATTACATCTGATAGGTGGGTTTTGTCTATCATTCAGCTCAGATATAGGATAGAATTCAATGTCGTTCCTCCATCGAGTCCGATTCGTTTTACACCCTGTTCTTCGGTACTATGTGACGAAGTCTACCAGCTACTTCATAAAGGAGTGATTCGACAGCTGTCCTGCTCTGAGGGATTGCATGGATTCTATTCCAGATATTTTATGATCCCGAAAAGGGACGGTGGTCTTCATCTGATCCTGGACTTACGAAATGTTAATAGGTACATCAAACCTAAAAAGTTTCGGATGACCACTTTACAGAATATCTTTCCGTTGCTGAGGAGAGAGGACTGGTTCGCCTCACTGGACTTGAAGGATGCTTACTTCCATATTTCCATCCATCTTTCTCACAGGCGCTTTCTACGTTTCACTGTCGGATCCGATATATTCAAGTTCAATGTTCTGTCTTTTGGCCTGGCTACTGCCCCTAGAGTTTTCACGAAGTGTATGACTCCGGTGTGCACACACCTACGGACTCAGGGCATACAAATATACCCGTATTTGGACAATTGGCTCATTGTGTCGCAGACTAGACAAGACCTTCTTTTAGCTGTGCACGAGACTTGCGCTCTACTTGACGATCTTGGACTTTGCATTAACCACGAGAAATCGTCCCTTATTCCCACACAGGTTATCGACTTTATCGGAGCACGTCTCGATTCTACTCGGGAGAGAGCCTTCCTTCCTCTGAACCGTTGAGATGCTCTCTGCAGCCACATTCATCGAATTCGACTACACAGAATGGTACCAGCCATAACCATCCAGAGACTACTGGGACACATGGCTGCTGCAGTTGCCATTGTTCTGTACGCCAGACTGCGTCTGCAGCCCATACAGCTGTTCTTCAACAGATCATTTCACCCACAGCGGGATTCTCCCACCAAGCTGATCTAGATCCCGCTGTCGATCCTATGTACTTTGACT